TTCTTCCGGTGGGCTGACAGTCCCTCATATGACACGACCAACAGTAATGGGAATCCGGTGTTTTCTCAGTTTGACAGTACAGATGAGGCCAGACGTAGCTAGAGTCTGAAATTAAACATTTTAATATTTTTTATTGTAGTTGTACTCGTATTTGTACTTTTTTTAGTTCTCTTGGTACTCATGAGGGTGTGAGAAATATATGACATCTTTTAGTTATGATCTGTGATGATTTCATGTTTCTGCATATGCTCCAGTACTATCAATAAGCTATTCTGAATAAGTTGCTCCAAACAGTTTTATCACAAAGGGGCATGAATGTGATTTAACCACCAATAAGCTATCTTGAATAAGCTGCCCCAAACAACAAGACAGATTATTCTGATAATCTGCAGATTATCAGATTATCAGAATAATCTGTTTATCAGCAGATTATAAATAATCAACAGCTGCGCCAAACATACCCTAAACCTACTTGAGAAGCATAAGTACTTATAACATGAAAAATATTAATATCAACGACAAATTTGAGGGCTATAATTTTATCTCCAAATTCTATTAACTTTTATTATATCATCTTTCAAAATCTTATATATAATTACACCTACACCATTTCTATTGTGACTTCTACATAAATACCAAAGTTAAAAACCTAAGCCTATCAATTTTTTTAGCATTTTTTTCAACCAATTTAGTTTCTTGAATGCATAAGATTTTTATCTTTTTATGTCTACTAATTCCATTAATTTATAAGTGAAAATGCCAATATTTCAAAATTTTATAAGTTTCATGTACTAACTTTTTTGCTCGCATCTGTCTATGATGCGAGAACTCTTGTTTATTTGACACTACACCCGAATGTAAGTGTAGCGGCCCCTGCACACTTTTAATTGTATTCAGGCCATACAGTGTGTCGCTTCTAGTTTTAACATTTACAATGATTTAAATGATTCATGTCATGATTTTTTTGATAAAAAAATTACGTTGGTTATCGACTATCTATCACAATTCTCCACTTTTCGCATTTGATGCATGGGACCCGGCAATGACTCCGCATTTAACATCATTCTTTTTTCTAGGTGAGCGGCGAATTTCTCTCTAGTTATTGTTTCAGGCTTTTAGCACTGAAGCAAGTTATTTCCCTCAAGTCCAATCACGGCTAGTTTTGAGTTATTATAATCTATATGCTTTCTTTGACCCAGTTGTTTCTTTTAAAAACCGTTGTTAATATATGCACTTTATAATGGCTTCTAAGAACTATAATTGGATAGTAAGTGTGGAAAGCTTTGATAAACACCCTTTTTTTATGTGCTATAGTTTTGGTAGGACTCTCTTTTTCTATTACTACATCTGGGACAAATTAGAGCCTTAAATTTTTCTGTTTTGTGCTGTTTGTTGTTAGCATTTTTTTTTAAATATTCATGCTGTAGTACTTATTCACTTTTTATATCCCTTATTTTGGTCATGTTTTCTCATTAAAGGACGCATTAATTTTATCCATAACAGGTTTTTTCCTAAATCCTATCTATTTTTATCCTTTGAACTAATTGATCATGTTCATGCCAGTTATCTTGCTGAGGCACCCTTTGCATGCAAGGAGAAGACGCAAGACCTTCTGCAGTATTTACTTTCTGTGGAAGGTGAAGATGAACCAAGGTTCTGAAAAGCTCGTCATATGTTTTTTAATCAGCTACATCTATTACATATAATTATACATTTAATGTAGATTATATAATTTTTTTGACCTTACTATCAATGGCAGTCCTTTCTATTCTGTATGCTTCCTGCTTCCAATGCTGTGCCAAACAACTATGGAGACTGATGGATGCAAGGCGCTGGCTTCATTTGGAGGGCATAAAACTGTGGGTTTGTTTATGTTATAAATTTCTGCAAATGATTGGTTTTCTCTCATGTTTCTGTCTTCTTACAACAGATTATGAACTGGGGCTTAATATAGTTTTAATATATATCTATAGAGGAAGATCACCGCCTTGCAGAAGTAAATAGAAATAAATGAAATTAATTGATTATTATAGGATATATCAGTCTCCCTTTATTAGCTTACTACGTGTTTGCTCCATCTTATTATTGCTTTTTTGTTTACTAGTTTTGTTTATTATTCTAAAAATATTTATTTATTGGCGAAACTGTTTCTGCACTATGGAGCATTTGCTTCACATGATTGGCATCCTTGTGACTCGTTCAAAGGATTACAATATCTGCTGACCATTGTACTGTCGAGATAGATTTATCTTATTCCTAAGGATATCAGGGTTTATGGCTACTTTTATGAAATTTAGTAAAAACTTTGGGCATTTGGATACCATTCTAGGGTTCCTAGATAGTGTGAGTAAACACCAAAAGATGTTAACGAAGTTGTAGGATGAGGAAAGTGAAAATGTAACCAAAAGATGTTAACGAAGTTGCAGAAAGCAAACAGCAAAAATAGCAAGGTACAGGCGGCAAGGAGGATGCATCACCTGGTTCTAAGCAAACTACAGACACACCAATTGCAATTGGAAGAGGATACATCGCTTCGGAGAGCGGAAATTTAGAGATTAAACTTGCAATTTTCATAAAACCAAACTAGCTCATCAAAAAAAATAAAGAACAAATAAATTACAGTTCCATACGCAATTTTCATAAAAAAAATAAAGAACAAATAAATTACAGTTCCATAATAGAAATAAATTAATTATAAATAGAGAAATAAAAAAGAATTCAAAAAGGGGAAAAATGTTAAAATAGGAAGTATTGGGCTGCTGCCAATCCCGCAATCGCGGGAGCTCTATAACCACATCATCATCAGAATTGTCCTTCAAAACTCCTATATGTTCGTAACTGGATTGTGTCCTGCGTCACTCCCCCCGATTAGGAGGGGTTTTGCTTTCTTTGCCAGAGGCTTTTTGAATCGATCCATGGCCAACCTAATAAAGTCATCATCTTGTTGTGGTGGTAGTCCCACTATAAACTCAATGCTCACATCCAATCAGAGCTGCAACTGCATTTAAGCAAGTATTTTATGAGTATCAAATTTCTGTGATTTTTTTTTATGTCATTTTCATCTTTACTTGTGTTATTTTTTTGTTTTATGTGGGTATTTTATTGTTTTATGCAATATAGATGATATCAGAGGTAACCCAAACCACATCGGAAACATAAATATTATTTTTGAATTCCAAACATATTACAAACACGATACGAGAAAAATAGGAAATAGACAACAAACAAACATGACAACATAAACGATAAAAAGACGACCGTGGGGGACAACAAGGATGGAGGTTGCTGAACGGCTGTTGATGGCTGAGGAAAGAGGGTTGCAGTTGTAGAGAGGTGGCAGAAGGGATGGGCAGCCGCTGGAACAACAAGATAGCATGGGGCGACAATCCAAACAACAGCAGGTTGCGGTTTAGAGTTGTTGGACAACGGGAAAACAACAAAGCGAAGGCGTTACGCGCTGCGGCTACGAAGGTTGAGAGCTGGGACAGTGAGGTCAGCGAGGCCGAGGGAAGATAAGGCGATGGGGCGGTTGTAACTACAGAAAACAGTAGATCTTTGTGATTTTGGGCGGTGGTGGTAAGGTTGGAGGCTTAAAACTACTGTACTATAGCAATCTCTTGTTGTTCTGGACGAAGACAACACGATAAAGCGGTGGGGAGCATCGCGGGAAGCATGGAGAAGGGTAGAGGAAGGATAATCACCTCCTCGGGAGATAGATACAACTGGAGCACCACCTAATCCCTCGGATACAGCTCCGAAGGGAAAAGCTTTATGATAAAACTGTATTCAAATATCAAAACAACATCCCTCACTCTAAGCACATCATCCCCTATTTATAAAGAGGCAAGACTTATTTTAAGTGTTGAAAATAAAAATGGAGAATAAAATATAGTCAGGTTTTCAGATTTTAGGAAAAGATTTAAAATAAAAGAGAATAAAATATAATCAGGATTTCATATTTTTAGGAAATGATTTAAAATAAGAAATGAGAATAAAATATAATTAGAATTTTAGATTTTAGGAAATAATTTAAAATAGGAAAGTGCTAGGAAGGAAAGAAATGAAATGGAGGAAAGGAGAGGAAAGGGAGGGAAAGGAAAGGAAAGGAAAGGGAGGGAAGAGGAAGGAGGGAAAGGAAAGGAATGGGAAGCATGGGCAACAACCTCCCCTTGAGGACTGGGCCCCATAGCCCCGTGTTAATACAAGTGATAAGCTAACATGGAGAGCAAGAAGCTATAATGGAATGTCTAAGCCTTAGACCAGCACCTCTGCGCCAGTCCAGGTGCCTAGGCGCTTGAAGTTAGAGCCCTAAACGCAAACGCCCCTGCCTCAGTTTTGGGTGCCTAAGCGCTTGATGCTCGGGCCCAGGTTGGGGCGGAAATGAGCCAAACAGGAGTGAACCCAGGTTCACTCGTGTTCATCTAGTTAAAAAATATCATTGTTCGTGTTCGGTTTGTTTATATTTCAAACACAAAAAGAGATCACTGATTAGCCAAATAGGAGTTGTTTGAGAACAAATTGTTGTTTTGACAACCCTAATCATGTAGCCGTAGGATATTAAGGGTTGGGACAATATTTAAAACCTTTTGTTTATATTAAAAAATTATTTAAATATAATTTAACATATTTTTATTCTATTTTTTTAATTAATAATTTTAATTGATTATAAATCTTTGTAAACTTATATATATATGCTTGATCTCGTTTGTTTCGCTCTGCTAGGGTTTCGCCTCATGGCGAACCCTGGCATCTTCTCCGTTGATTTCACTTTTCCTTTGTCCGTTGCGTCGTGTGACGTCGGTTGTTTGTCGCCTCGAATTCGTCTGGTTTTCTCTAGCTTCTCGCATGTCGCTTGTTTTGTCGTGCGCCACCGCCCTTCCTTTGTTTTTTGCTACGTCGACTGAATTTCGTGCGTCGTCTCTTGAGGCTCTCTCCTTCTCCTGTTGCACTCGCGTCCGTCCTCCCTGCCCGTACGTGAGCTGCTCGCAGTCCAAACTCAATCCCTGTAGCTTGTAGCTTGTCGTTGTTCAACTCCCTGTTCCATGGCTACTGCTCTTTCTCAACCACCGCTGCTTCTGTTTTAAACATTGGCAAGTCTTCTTTTGCTGAATGGTTGTCTCTATGGGATCAGATCAGGTTTTTCCTCAGGTTTACCATGAATTTGGTTGTCTCTATGTGATCAGATCAGGTTTTTCCTCAGGTTTGTCATGAATCATTCGAAGGCCAGGAGGACTACAACCTTCTCAAGAAGACGTGTAGGAAGAGTTGCGAACCGGCCCTATTCTTCTCTGATTTTGAAGTTTCCAACCTGGTTAACAAGTTCAAATTCACCCTCATTGAGAAGTTTCAATCGGGACATCCTAAAATGGATATTGTTGGAAAGGCTTTTGAAGATCTCAAATTATTGAGATTTTTAGAAGGTTGACCTCTTTGATGGGAGACACATGATGATACAATTATCTAAAGTGGAAGACTATGCCAAAATATTTTTCAAAAATTTTTTGACAATAGATGAAAAATATATAAAACTACTTAAGTGGTCTCCTGAATTCGACCCTAGCCAAGAACCACCTATATTTTCAATCTGGTTTAAACTTCCTGGCCTAAAGTTGCACTACTTCAATCACCAAGTCTTCTATTCTATGGGAACTGCACTAGGGAGACCGATGAATTTGGATACACCCACCTTCAATCTAACCAGACATTCGGTTGCAAGAATTCATGTTGAAAGGGATATCATCCTCCCTGATGTGGATGAAATATGGCTTGGTACTGCTCACAAGGGGTATTGACAGACAATTGTTGCAGAACAAATACCCTACTACTGCAATCACTGTAAATTATTTGGGCACACCTCTGTCAAATGCTTCAGGCTTCACCCACAATTGAGATCGGTAGGTCCTAACAACATCATCCATGTGGATGATAATATAGCTGACACTGTTAATCTTCCAGAAATGTTGAATGAGATTTTGACTCATAAGGCTCCTCACCAACCAGATCAGTAGCTTCCGCCTACTGTTGTTGAGGCAGCCCTTCCTCCGATTATAAAACAAATACTATGAATTTTGTTATAGCAGATGCTAGCCAAAGTGTCTTGGAACCACCTATTTCAAGAGAAGAGGGTACTCAAGTTCTGGAGGAGTGTCAGGATCAATGTATGTTGCAGGCTGAGTTAGATCCGCAATTTATCTCCGTCAAAGATCCACCTATTGTTCAGACGGGACTACCGCTGGTAGATGATTGACAGGTTTACAAATCTAGGAAGAATAAAAAAAGAATTCTAGATCTCAGTAGTTCTCAGGATGATTGTATCATAGTTTCAGACGAAAGCCCACATCTCAGTATGTTGCTGAACTTTCTCCTAGATCCAGGGGAAGGGGAAGTGGTATATTCACTGACTACACCCACCATGATTATGAGTTGTTTTCTTTTTGTTATATTTTTTGGGAATACGTGTAGTTGTAATCCCTATGAGTGGGCTCTATGTACCCACTCTCTAAATCCTTTGTATCCTCTCTTTTATATCAATGAATTTTGTCTTTTCAATATATATATATATATATAATTGATGAGTAGTAATTCGAGCTAAAATGAGCCGAACACGAACGACAAATCTTTGTCGTGTTCGGCTTGTTTACATATTGTGCACAAAAAATGTGTTCGTATTCGACTCGTTAAATTAACAAATGAATCCAACACAAGTTTTTTAATGAGTGAAACACGAGTTGTTCGTGAACAACGAACCATTTTGATAGCTCTAGCCCTAGGCACCCCAACCTAGTTCTTGGCATCAAGGCTCCTTCCCCAGGCATGAGAAGATAGAGCACTCAAAAATCTGGCATGAGTGCCTGGCACC